CCGCGAGTACCCCGGATCCCATACTTCCGAGTTCGGATCCAAGGAGGGAGGGTCCCGCATAGAGAGACCTGGATCCAGGGTACAGGGATGATGGATGCAGTGGATCTCGAACTTTCGTGGGACAATGGAGATCACAGACGGTTGCAAGATGATGTTGGGTGATTGGAGAGCTCAGATCCACGACGAGTGTACACTTACAGTGAAGTGGATCCAAGCGACCTAGATCCGGATGAGTGTACCCATACTAGAGTGACCATAATGATTACGCCATGGATCCGGCGGATCTGAAGATAATACAGCTGGGATGATGGGTCAAGGGAAGAAGGGACATGCAGCCGAACCTGGTAAGGGATTTAGCAAGTGAAAGACATAGAAGGTAGAAATCCAGGCAGATATAGGCTTAAATATCAATACAGTCCTCAATTTGCACAGTATCACGCAAGTGCTTTCCCGCCCTCAAGAACCGGAACTACATTGGCCGTACGAGCTAGGAGAAGGTTGGGAATTGCGAATCTAGTGTTGGTAGTGATAACTGGATAATACATTGGCCAGATCCTACAACCTAGTGAGCTTTTCCTTTACTTGTGCAGATCCGACAGGTTAACCGAATTTACTACTTGGTCGGTTACACCCTAGAGGTTCTCAATTCTCAAGATCCCGTCACAGGAGGCGGCAAGTACGACGCAAAGGAAAACACAATGGCAAGGGAACACACCCGCAAGGCAACCCTACGGTCAGATCCACGATCTAGGCCCCGGATCCATAAGCTCGAATATTCGCTTAGGATTCGGAATCATCCACGGACGCAGAGTGAAGATTTTTCACCGCTGCTCCACCCCATCCCCACGTCTCGCCAAGACGCTCAAGCTTCACCACTTGAACTCTTCGGAAGTTACCGAGAGAGCAAGATCCCGCCCTACCGACGGGTACACAAGGTGAGGAAAGTTCAGCAGAACACGGATCATCGGGGGACCCCCTCCGTTAGTCGGTGTCTGGGTGCAGGTGGTAAGCTGGATCTGGCAATCTCGCAGATTTTGCTGATCCCGCTACACCACAGTACCCTTCTTGAGGAACCACTTGAATCGCCTCTTCAAGGGTGCTTGACTGCACCCAGAACAGCTGAGTGCGTGCGGGGCCCACTCGAAGGCCGTCCATGAACACAGTCATCTTGATGTGTTCGTTGAGTGGGTTTCCCACTAGGGACGCTGTGAGCTCCCGTATCTCTTGCACATGCTCATGCAGTTCGCGCCTCCCTTGTTTACACGAGAGGAAGCGCGAACGCTGACGGTACTCGTAGTTCGCCGGGAGGAACGCGGCTCGGAGCTGTTCACACAGCTGAGCCCAGGATGTGAAACATCCAGGGGATGTTGCTTCCCGTGTGTACACCCGACTCTTAGCACGGCCGCTAAGGTTGGAGAGTGCAGAAGCAACACGCAGTTGCTCGGTCGAGATCAGAGCCGCGAATATCGCGAGCTCTACTTCTCGGACCCAGAAGTGAAGGTTCTCGCCTTCCTTCCCTTCATACGGCTTAACCTTCAGCCGTATTGGCTTCGGGTGAGACGGATTTGCTTCCGCCGCCGGAGCCTGCAGGTTCTCCCGCACATGCGCGATGAGGCCCTGCTCGTACGCGTCGAATGCATTGACGCGCTCGAGCTGCTCAGCCGGTGTTGATACCACCAGGCTCTGCAGGGCCTCCATCCCGAAGATGCCTGCCATCTTCCGAACCGACTCGAACTGAGAGTCGTTCATATGGGAGAAGTCGTTCATGTCCATGGCAACGAGCTCCGGAGAGGTTCAGGTAGTCTACCCGCGGTGGCGTGGATTGACTACTAGTGCTACCAAGTGTGACGGGGTCACACAGCACCTTGCGCTAGAAGAAGTTATCTTCCGAGAGCATACAAACTCTCAGTGAACGGCAGTTCACAGGTCCCCTCTATATTTAAAGAGAGCGAAGTGACCTAAATAAGGTAGATTGTAAACTGAGTATATTTATAGGTAGGTTAAGTTTGGGTTAAATACAAACTATTAGTTACCTATAGAAATGCAACGTCGTTTATCCAATGGCTGGCTTTGAACGACCTTGGTACCTTGTACCAAATATCCCGGAGTATGACGTGTCATACACCTGAAGTGTGAAGTGTCACACTTTATGTAGCCAGGGGGGTACACTTAGGGCTACGTACCCCGTTACAGTGACGGACTGCGGGTGCACGCTTGCTCGCAGCCGCGTCACCAGTTGAGCCGATCGCCTCCGAGGTCACCTTAGTAGCCTCCTGGGGTGCAGAGTCTTTGCCGCGAGGCTTAGTGCTCTTGACTTGAGCCATTCCGGTAGCAGCCTTGGAGTGTGCTTTCGCACCGGTCTTTGCAGTGTATCGGGGCATACTAAAGGTCGAAGTGAAGACCGAGAAGAAGAGCGCTTAAGTGCTGCTGGAGGCTCTAACTATGGCTTGGAATGCCTTTTATTTGCAAATTCCGAACCAGTAGCTAGCCGCCTTCGAACACGGCCTATAAACTAATATTTTAAAGGTAGAGGTAATGGCTAAGCTCAATTATTTTACAGTTGAAAGCAAAAACAATAAAAATGCGTGAAAAAAAAGTTTGAATGAGATGATAAAAAAGAAAAAAAATGTTTAGAATTGGCATAAAATAATGGTGTTGCACGGTTGCCTTGCGGTTCACTAGGCGAGAAATTATTACAGTGTCATTTGAGGACTTGGTGCTTGAGACAGTCGTTGATTTTGCAGGAGCGACCTTCGAAGACGCATCGCTGGCAGTATCCGGAACGTTTGTTGGGCAAAATACCGCCATGCCCTCCTTTATGGCTGTGGCCATGCCCACGACTCATATGCCGCGACGGTGATAATTTTGTGGGGCTAGCATCGACAGAAGCAGATATTGCTGGGGCGATTGATAAACGAACAAGCCCGCCACTCTTTTGTTCAATTTCATTTTCCAGTGCCAAGCGATAACAGCGGGGGTGCATGAAGTTGGGCTTTGACAGTCCAAGGCGGTTGTTGTCGCTATGCGTTGCTAGTACTGGCGAAAGGTTGGTGGACGGTGGGGACGGTGGAGGAAACGTCTGAGATGCAGAGTCCCGTAGCCTTTTAGATATGTGATGGTGGTGATGATGGCGCTGTGAAGATGGGGGGTGCTGCGTGTAGACCAATGCTGCACTCCGTGCAGATGACATCGAAGTCAGCTCAAGTCTACATGTCGTGGGAGTACTTGAGGAAGGCTTCATCGACCGGTAACGCATAGTCGGTAGTACTAGCGGTGCATTCTCCAGCTATGTGGGCGGTTTTTAGTATAGGCACAAGAATGGATGCAGTATTTTCCTCAGATATCGGTGGAGGTCGTAGCGGTTTTTCGGGGTCTGTGGAGTTGTTGTTTTTTTCTTCAAAGTGAGCTTCGCTTTCCAGAGATGCACACGCTACAACACTGAAATAACTGGCATCGCCCATTACTTGAGTTACGGTCTCCAAAGCCGTTGTGACTGCTTCCTCAGCAGTCAGTTTTGCAAGACCGCGTGCATCGGCAATGATCGACTCATGCCTAGGAAGTGAACAAACCTTAGGGATTCGAATATGTTCGTGTATCTCTAAAGTAGTGGAAGTCCCGCTTTGCATAGCGTCATCGGCGGCATGAGCAATCAGGTCGACGAGTACAGCGTGCGTGGTCCAATCTGTGGCGTTATGGAACGCAACACCCTCGTTAGGGTCGAGGCACTTAGAGATTAACTCATTTTCGACGGCTTGAGAGATCCACTCGGTGGCCCTATTGATGGCTTGCACAATATCGGCCATCGCTTCTTTAGTGACAGCATCAACTGTGGTCTTGGCGACAGTGTGGATAGTGGCGCCTAATGCCCAATTCGTTGGAAGTATCGTTACTTCAGCTTGAGGTGATGACCGGAATGGTCCCACCAGGTTATAGCCAGGGGAATCTGCGTTAGAAATCAATTCTACGTGCACGACATCGTCTAACCGCTGTGTTGCATACGCTCCAACTTGTATTAATTTTTGCACTGCTCCTCGAACGATCCCGTCAACTGTTGCCTTCACTACGGTGTGAATACTCGAAGAGCGCACCCCATCAGGCACTGCATTGTGATCGAGATTAGGAGCTGGAATACTAGCCATCTCTAGTCCACTAGCGCTCACAGTCTGAGAAATGAGCTCGCCACAAACAGCGTCGACGAACCACTGCGTTGCTCCAACTACGGTGTGTGTTAATGCTTGCACTGCCTCTTGAACAACCTTATCCACTGTAGCCTCGGCTATGGTGTGAATATTCACGGCAAGCATCCCGCTCGGTGGTGCATTGTGGCCAATGTTGAGAGATAAAATACCAGTTTTCTCTCGCTCGTCGTCTGCGCTCATGATAATCTGGCATCTGGGCAGAAATGAGCTCTAGCATCACCATCACATGCGTTAACTTTCAAAAATAGCGGTCTGTGAATACGACAAACAAAGCTAAGAATGGGTGGGATGTTCAAAAATCTTAAAATAATACTTATCCTAAAGACTACATGTACTCCTACTCACATCGAGTGATGCAACTTGGTAACCGAAGTTGCCGCGATAGGTAACCTGCAGGATATCGATTTAAATTTTTAGGACGATGCTACAGTCCAAGTATCAGGTATAGAAATAATCCAAGTATTTAACCAAGTATTGTCCATATATTACCGATCTGGTAAATTAAAATTCATATTGAGATGAAGTGATTCGGATCGATCCTGAAGCGAATGTCTTTGCCTCGATAGTGAGAGATAACGACTAATCCATGTTCGATCCATGTACCGTTCCATGTATTGTACAGGTAAACATAGTGCACACAAGTACGGGTAGACATAGTGCACACAGGTACGGGTAGACATAGTGCACACAGGTACGGGGAGACATAGATCAGATTGATAGAGTAAAAACGAATTCGATTGAGTGAGTTAGTTTGAAATGCTACCCTTTAGCAGGAATTGTAGGATACGGAACCGCAGTAGCGTGAGACCAGTCTGGGTCAAGTCCAACAAGATACTTTTGTCTACGTAACGCCAAAACCTGAGCATGACGTAGAAGCCACAGTTATGACCGTCTGTTTAGATTGGCGAGTTGATAGCCAGTACCTGGTAGGCATCGCTCAGCGTTTCGGCCAAATCCCACGACATTCGGTCCAGTACGCTGTTGTAAGACTTTTGGTTCATGGGGTCGTAGTACATTACTTGGTTTCCCTTGACGTCCACAATGATACCACACCAGTGTGTGTTCCCGGAGTTGACTGGGATGAACAGAGTCTCGGCACAACTCTTCAGCATTTGTGCCTTTGCCTTGATCGTTTCTGTAAATGTCTTCATTTTCCTTCCCGTTACAGCATTCTCGATCCGAACTACATAAGCCGTTGAATTAGTTGCACAAAGTCTGGCGCAGAATGCGAGAATCAGGGCGTCATTTGCCCAGGAAGGGGGCTTCATACGGAATAGCATGGCGTAGTAATATTCATGACCTTCAATTTGGATGATGTCTTGGGGATTTGAGCGCGCAACTTGATCTGTCATCTCCTGTAGCGTTGGATGTAGTGCACTTCCTACAACACTGACGACATCGTCCATCAGCCACTTGCAGAATGCGAGCCCTTGCTCGCATTGATTCTTCATGGTAGTCAGGTAAAGCATCGCTTCTATCTGTGCTCGTGAGAAGATACCAATTCCAGTGATTTTTACACATTCAATATCTGGGGTTTGTCCAGGATTATCCATGTTTTGTCCAGGATTATCCATGCTTTGTCCAGATGTGTGTTCTCCAAGTTCCTTATCTTGGGTTGACTGGCTGTCTTGTGTAGACTGACTCTGAGAGAAGACCGATATCGCAGTATCAGGCGTATTCTTCACAGGCAACGCGGAGACGCACTTCTGCAGCAATTTCATCGGGAGGAGGTAAAACGCGGTTTCATTGAGTATCGGTACGCTGAGGCGAACGTATTTGGGCTTCTTGTTGACCGCTCGCTCGAACTTTATTGGAATTGGCTGCACACGAATCAGGAACTCCTGCATACACGGCTTTTCTTCCTGTAGATTGCACGCCAGCTGGACCAGAGAGACCTCGCCCATGCGGCGACGATGGGCTTCCGATTCGTTGAATATGGCCCGCTTCTTCTTGTCTTCGGCATTTCTATCCTTCCTGTTGGATCGAGGTCGTCCACTCTTTGCAGCCTTTGGATTTAAATTAATTCGAAAAGCAGGAGGACTTCTGTCCTCCTCACCATTTTCATCAACACTCGCTTTCCGATTCGCCACAGCGGCAACCGCGTTGGTCTCGCAGTCGTGAATCTTCAGGATCTCTGGAGACGCGACAGTGTCTGCATTTTTCTCGTGTACTCCTTCGTTAGCAGATTCGGTATTCGGTACGCCCTTCAACCGCTTTCGCTGTCGGATATTCCTCCACTGGTCGAGGACAAACTGCAACAGCTCGTGATACTCGTCGTCACTTTCGATATCAGCGAGCTCGCTACATATGGCTTGCGTTGCGTTGAGCGCCTCCTTGTATTTGGTGGCAGCATCGAAGGCTTTTTGTTTCCATTGTCCAGGCTTGAACTCATTGACCACAAAAGGTCGAGGGGTCACGGACTGGTCCACCGGATGCAGCCACCTGCTCATATATATTACAACACAGGTTTTGTTAGTGTATCCCGGTCGAATCATGAATGATACATGGACGAATCATGTATCATTCATACATACATCATGGTTGAATCTTTGATAAATCATAGATGGATCGAGAAAACAACTCACCTTTCATCGATCCTATTAAGCGGGATGATGGATCCACCTATTTTACTCCACTTTCGGTACGAGATGGCGTGCTGGCACGGCAGTCTCATGGCACATGCAAACGAACAGGTGCAGTTCCACGTATCTAGTTGAACGAAATGTACCTTGTGTTTCCCGGTGACCGCCACAAAACCCGGTTTCGATTTCGTGTCGAACTTGAAAATATCCACCTTCATGATAGCCATAACATACTCCTTTTCCACGTGTTCCGCGACGAAGTGGGACGTAAACTTTAGAACTTGGCTCATCTTCTCATCGTAATTTCGGTTTACAAGAACACCGATACGGGTCTTGTCAAACACGTACTCACTGCGAGTCCTGTCATCAGCTGCCTTCAGCGCCTTCACCGTATCGGTCATGGTCATATTGTGATGTACAGCATCCTTGAAGTGACCAAACCAGGTTTCCAAATGATTGTTGGTATGCACGCGTAAGTGCGCCAACCGAGGGCGCTTATACATAACCCACATGTCCGTGCACTTGTTCCAGTTCTCGTCCTTGTATTCGTAAAACGAGGTGAACCCAGTTCTGGTACAGTGTGTCTTCATCGATCTCCAATTGTTCTGGTAGACTTCCTCACTTATTGCATACACCATATTATGCACTAACGTGTCTATTGCATCATGGTCGTCGGACGATATCTTGCCATATTCGGGCTTCCGCGAAGCAGTGCGAAGATATTTGATAACGTGAAAGAAGCATATGAGAACTCGGGCGTTAGGAAAGTAGGTGCGAAGAACTCGGATCTCATTCAGGTCTTCATGCGAACCTGGACATTGTCAGTAATAGCAGGATCCACTCGGAGTAAATGATCCAAAGCACGCGACATATGCCAGTCAGCATTTCGTTCTAGTAGTGATTGCTGTACAGGCTGCCCTCAACCCTTGTCATCGATTGCCATCAAAGTACACAGCTGGTAATTGTACCTAAAGAACAGAACTCGTTTAATCAAGGAGTACACATGTAGATTTATTTGGTCCAATACTTGGACCAAATAATAATAAAACAAGTATAATACATGGACAATACACGTACCGATTGGTCCTGTGGATGCAATCTACCAGCAAAAGCGCTCCGAAAAGCGCGTGATCATCTCCCGCTGGTGGCGAGACGTCATGCTCATTACTCCGGAGTGATCCGCGTCAGTCTCATCCACCGTAACAACGTTACCATCTTGTGCGGCAAATACAGCGAGAGCCTGCGCTACAGCATCGTCATCGTCAATCCCACCACGACCCTCGCTCTTAAAACGCTGGACCAAGTTGTCCACGTCTTTCTTAACCAAGTGCTCTCCTCTCGCGAGAAGATACTCGTAGATGCGGGCGCGTTTGCGTCCATGATTAACCATAGTAATGACAGCGTCCTTTGTGTCCGCACAACCAACCTTTCGATTCTCTGCGTACGTCAAGAAATGCTCGGTGGCTACTGCGTGGTTGTGCTGGTAAAGGCCATTCTGTACTCGAAGCACCCACACACACCCCTCCTCCACCATTTGGACCACGAAACGAAACTTGCACCCTGTCGCGCGGACGAAGTGCTTGGGGCGCTTACCGGTGGTTCGGATCTTCGCAGGCCAGCCATGAGTGCAGATGTATGTACGCATGTACATGATCCAGTCCTCAGGCACGTATGGAACGTCTAAACCTTTCTTGGCGGCCACAGTATTCGCCAGACGCTTGTTCCTTAAATCGCAACTTAGTGTGGTAAAGTGCTTTCTCAGAAATAAGAGAATGGGCCTGACGCGGGGTCACTATCCCGAATCAATGACAATTTCAAGTGATTAGAGAGGATTTGGGTTGGCTGGCACGGATGCAAGTTGCCGGTGGTGGATTAGCCATGACGAGCAGCGCCCCGTATGAAGTGACGATGGATCTGGTATGAGCGATGTACGAGAAGGCAAGATCCACCAAGACTTACCTCGGATCCACCCTTACTTGGATTCACCTAAATGGATATGGGATATACTATACAAGAGTGGATCGGGTGTGGATCCTATGAAGGAAGGATGGTAGGTGCCCTCTAAAGGTGGATCTAGTAGCCACGGCTAACGAGGAGTCAAGATCCACCGCGAGGTGACCCGGATCCTATGCTTTCGAGTTAGGATCCAAGGAGGGAGGATCCCGCCTTAAGGGACCTGGATCCAGGGTATAGGTATGATGGATGCAGTGGATCTAGAACTTTCGTGGGACAGTGGAGATCACAG